TTTCACTGGGCTGCCTGGGAGCAGCACTTGGCCCAGGGCCACGAGCAAGGCAGGATGCTCTGGCTGGCACATTCTGCAGCAGACAGTGCCGGGGGGATTGGAGAGACAGGGGCTGTTTGACATCCAGCAGCAGCATTTACAGATGCAAATAGAGCCTGAGCTGCAAGGAGCATCCCCCAAGGGCTGCACAGTCCTGTCAGGCCTGGGAAGAGACACTTAATTCCTCCCTGTTAATTGGCTGCCGTGCAGGGAGGACAGAGCTGTGCAGCCTGGCACCAGCAGAGCGTGTTTGGTGGCAGAGCCCAGATGCTGCAGCAGAACACGAAGCTCTGTGTGCTCACAGATGTTGGCTGGGCTGGGCAGGGCAGTGCTGGGAGTGGGAGGCACAGGGATGAGACCTCAGCTGTGCTGCCCCAGGCTCAGCCCACTCTGGGCTCCTAGGGCGCTGGGAGGAGAACGATGCTGAGAACCACAAACAGGACAGAGGAGGCAGAGTTGGTCCCTCCTGCAGCCCCACCACGGTGATGCTGGCACCGTCAGGGCTGAGGAGCCCCCAAGCTCTCACCTCTCCACTTGAAACTGCACCCTGCCCTCACCCACACTGACACAGGAGCCTTTCCTCTGCCCCCAGCCCACCCAGCACCCCAGAATGGTCTCCTAAGCCTCCAAGCTGGAAGAAGTCCCCTTGCCCATCCAAAGCCTTCTCCTCCCCTAACATTGTTTTCATTTCCCCCTCCCCCCCTTTTTTATTCTCAATAAAAACATAATTACAGGCTTTTAAAAAAAGCAAATTATAGTGACATACTTTAATTATCTCTAAGCAATGGAGGACTAAATTACACAGTCAGGGAATCGGAGGTTACCTAAAAATAAAAGCAAGAAGCTTCATTAAATGCTAATTGCAGCTTTCACCACTGAAGTGAGATTTCAACACAGGCCACTACTGACTGCTGGGCCCTACAAGAGAACACTGGTGCTGGGCAGAGACCCTCGGATAGATGCCACATGCCTCTACCCGTGGCTCCAGCTGCAGGGATTGCTCCAGCAAGGAGAAAACAGGCTCCATTCCACCACTGGTCCTCCCCTAGTCACAGAGCTCAGTGCTTCCACCTCCCAGTCCTGTCCCAGAGCAAGGAGCAAGCCACAGGCTGCTCCAGCCCTGCTCTTCCCATCCCCTTCCTCCAGATTTGCTCACTAAGGAGCTTTGCCACAGCTGCGACAAGAGATCTCCAGGCCATGGGGACAGGGGGGAGATTCTTCCCAAGTCTCGGGAAGCAAGGGATGAGGTAGCAGGCAGACTGGAAAATTCACAGAGAAATTATCTTGTTTTTTCCATTTCCTATCGAGTTGGCCTAATTATGCCACTGAAGTCTGTAATTTGCCTGTCAGAGAAGAGAGTTAATGAGTGGTTCCAGGCTGCTGTGGCTCCGCACGGGGCCGGGACGAGGAGCCCGCACACAGCTCCCACACCAGCCCCAGCCAGGGCACAGCACCCTGAATGCTCCTGTCCCCGAGAGGGGAGCTCAGCAGAGGAGCTGGGGCTTGGGAACGGCGGCAGAAACTTCCAGGAGGGGGAGGCAGGAGCAGGAGATGGAGGGAGCTGGCACCAGCCCAGGTTTTCTCTCCCCACTTCTCACATTCCCAGTGAAACAGTGGAAAATGTGCAGGTCAACCACTCAGGGAACTCAGGTAATTATTGTTGTTTAAATTCAACAGCCCTTCACAGAAATAAGGGGGAAATCAGACAAGTGCTTTTAAGCTGCAAGGGAGGCGAGGAGGAGAAACGACAGCACCAATTCCAGGACAGGCACCTCATCTAACCAACACATACAAAGTATCACACACCAGGAATTTGGTGTCTAGGAATCAGAACCTACTCTGCTGCCCTGCTCAGCCACAAGCAGAACGGCCCTCAAAAGTAGTAAGCAAAGCAGATAAGCAGAAACTGGATCCCAGTAGATTGCACTCGCTCATCTCTGCAGGTATCCACAGCAGAGCCCGGCGAGATCCCACTGCTCCACATCCCCCTCCGTGGGAACACACGGCTCCCTGTCAATTAGCCTTCACCGCCGAAGAAGTGACTAGAATTTAGCAGCAGTGTGCCACGAAGTGCCACATGAAATTCAGCAGCTGTGTTGGGGCGTCCCAGCACCCAGAGCCGAGCGCGCTGGGAGGGACACAGGGACAGGTTTGGGGCTCAGAGCATCACTCCCCGCGGAGAGGGACGGGAAGGAGCTGCAATTAAGGCAGCATCAGCCTCTCCAGACATTATCAGACACGATCTGGGGTGAAAGCTGCTTGTAAAGTCAGTCAAACCGTATCTCCGAGCCAGAAACAGCACCAGAGACATCAAGTCGGGTTTTCTGGGAGCCCTCTGAACCAGGCAGCGCCTCACATCTGATCCGACAGTGACGGATGCGCAGTTTTTTCTCCCGAGAAACTCTTTTGACAAGTATGATCTTATCAAAGTTTCAAGCTTTTCATTAGGCTTCTTTTTTTCTTT